ACCATATTATTCAGATCCATATATTTTATATCCATTAATCCCAAGATAAATATGTACCGTAGGAAAGTAGGCAGTATATCGAACCCTAAAAGATATTTTGATAGGAGTATGAATTAGTTAAATTAGTTATGTTTAATCTTTGATCTAATTAACAAACCTCGATAGGAAGATTTCTTTCAATGACACCATTTCTAAACACTTTAAATTCTTCTAAAAGTATGTAAAACGTTATGTAAATAGTGGAAAATGTATATTTTTTTTTAGAGAATTTACAATCCGAAGAAAATCTCTTTCTTAGCACATTTTGAATCCATTTGCTAGAAGAAAAATTCTTTCTGATCAAGAGATGAATTGTTTGAAAATTTCTACACATAACAAAAATGTAATTCGTACCCCATTCACAATACTTAGCCATACAAGATATGGCTCCATATATACAAATGCGCATTCGTCGACAATGGTCGATATGGCGGCACCGCAATCTGCAACAATACTTCTTGCCCTTTTATAAAGGCAATGCAAAGTCTTGCTGCAGTTGTCTAACACTATTGTGTCGGTAGACACCTGGGCGATGTTTTGCAGAGCGCCTAATAAGTTCCTTAAATTCGTAAACATAAACACTAGATTAAAACTACTAAGTATATGTTAAAAAGTTAGAAAAACTACAACAAATGCAAGATGCATCAACATTCCCATATGCAATTAAAATTTCTGCTTAAAATATATACTCCTGTTGGTGGTAATTCAAGCACAAAGACAAAGACCACGTTTGCTAAGTAATCCTTATAGGTATTCATAGGTACAAAAATTAAAATACTAACCAGATCTTCCATCTCGCTTGTATTTTCGAAGTCAAAATATTGAGGTATTCTGATCAAATGAATAATACAATTGACATTGGTTTTGAAGCGAGCCAACAGAATTGCTATCACAGGCATTAGATCCTTGTAGCTACATTGGATATAAAAAATGCTTTTAATTCTGCAAACTGGGATTGCATTATGATGCACTCGTGACAAGAACGTGCCAGCATACCTATGCAATATAGTCGCAAGCTACTTTACAGACAGAATTCTAATGTACCATTCACGCGATGGTACAGAAGAATATAATATAACAGGAGGTGTGCCGCAGGGCTCTGTTCTAGGCCCTTTGCTGTGGAATATTATGTATGATGGCCTTTTGAGACTAGAGTTTCCAGAATGTGTGAAACTAGTAGCATATGCAGACGATGTTGCCATAGTGGTTGTCTCCAAACAAATTGATGACATCGTAAGCCTATTCGATATTACATTCAGAAAAATTAATCGGTGGATGGGAACAATGAATCTCCAATTAGCACAACAAAAAAGTGAAGCTGTTCTTATCACTAGTAGGAAAAGAATTGAGACCATCAAGCTAAAGATAGGAAATCTTGAGATCACGTCAAAACCTCACATCTGTTACCTTGGCGTAATGCTTGATGCTCGTTTGAATTTCAATCAACAGGTGGAACACGTTAGTGCTAAGGCGTCAATAGTTAGGACGAAACTTGCTCGACTGATGCCTAATATTGGAGGTCCTAAACAAACCAGAAGGATATTACTATCGTCAGTTATTACTTCAGTGCTGACATATGGTATCTCCATATGGGGTGATGCTCTTAAATCTCAAAAATCGAGGAGAATGGCAGGGCCCTTATACCGTCTCAGTGCTATAAGAATTGCTTGCGCATTTCGCACAATATCGGCGGAAGCAGTGTGCGTCATTTCAGGAACTGTGCCTCTCTTAGTCTTAGCAGAGGAAAGACGGACAATTTACCATAGAAGACATCAACAACTGTGTCCTGAAAAGTTAAGATTAGAAGAACGGCAGAACAGCATTGACCGATGGCAGCGACTGTGGGATGTCGCTGTAAAGGGCAGATGGACGCATCGTCTCATTCCTAACATCAAAGTCTGGCTAAGTCGCAAGCACGGCGAAGTAAACTATTATACTACGCAAATGCTATCGGGGCATGGCTGTTTTCGAGCCTACCTACACCGATTCAAGCACGATAGCTCGCCGGATTGCCCATATTGTTTGGGCGAAATCGAAGATGCTGAGCACGTGTTCTTCGTGTGCCCGCGATTTGGTGCTCTACGGGATGATGTGGAGGAGACATTGAGACGCACAATTACCCCAGGTAATGTTGTTGAAGTAATGCTGACAAGTGAAGCTGCTTGGAACGCCATAGACAGATTTGCGAGAGACGTTTTAATGGACCTGCGTTCTATAGAGAGAGAAAGGACGAATGGGACTTCGCCCATTTAAAAGATAAGTAAAATGTTTATGAATTATAACATTGTTTATAACAAGTTAAGAATTGTAACATTCTAGATCCTCCCCCCACGAAGTAATGCCTAGCGGCGGTTTCCGTGGGGACCAGAGGCAGGGGCAAAGCGGAGGCATTAGATGTTTTGTGATATTTAATTTTTCTTCCTTCATTTGTTTTCTTTGTTTTAAACTTGGGACGTGTAAATATGAAAACTAATGAAATTTAGAAATAAAAAATAATGTTTAAACATATAATCAACACACTAGAAGAAGAAACAACTGGATAGTTTTACCCATTTGCATGTACTGACATTAAAACCAGGGCAGGGTACTTTTACTTGATCGGTTTAGATTTAGTTAATGTTGTCTTATAAATATTAGACGACAATGTTACAATATTAATAATAATCTATTTGAAAACATTCAGTATTTTTCGAACATTTCGTTATGATACGGGAAGTTCCAGCAATTTGCCTTAAGGTACGATGTCATAATTGCCTCAAGACAGAATTCCACTTACAGCTAGTTTTATTTTTGTTTCAAATATCAACAAAATTTAAAATAATAAATCGATAAATGTATATGTTATAAAATACCTTTTAAAATTCTTCATAAGTTCCTGAAGGAGTTTAATTAAATTTTAATACTTTACTCAAATTAGGATTTCAGCGTTACTGGTGTTAGGTCTTTTTTTTAGGTTTTTTTAAAATATCAACAAAATTTACAATAATAAATTAATAAATGTATATGTCATAAAATACCTTATAAAATTCTTTATTATATGCTATAAATATTTTCATAAGTCCTTGAACAAATTTAATTAAATTTTAATACTTTAAACTCAAATTACGATTTCAGCATTATTGGTGTTAGAACATGTTTTTAAGACGTCCTTGTGCCTAATTTCGAATAATTTTTTATAATTTTTTATCTTATACTTTGAGGCGGCCGTACTCTCAAACTTTCAATTTTACAAAAAAAACGGTTTTCTAAGGAATTGTAGGAAATTTTATCTAGTTTAATTCGTACATAGATACTTTTATCGTAGAATCAGCCAAAAAAAAGATATTTTAAAAAAGTTGTTGTTTGACGCTGTTTTTTCAATATGGCGGCAACTTGCCGTTCAAATTTGAGGTGGCAAAGTTGATTTTCGTAAAGAGCACCTCGAAATCTACAAGATTACCAATTTTCATAATTCCCGGAGTACTGTACCGGCAACAGCCTTTTTTTGCACCAAATGACTGGACTACAGTTCTCGATTGAAATTTGCGGCTAATGAACCTATTGCAATCAAGGCCTAAAATGTTAGAAATTAATTTATTAAAAGTACAAAAAATATTTCAGCAACTTCGATAAAACCAAAATAGGTTGTAATTGTTAAAAAAAATCGCGAGTGCTTGCCATGTCGTCCAAACCTAACATGACGCTTTCCCATACATTTTTGATTAGGCTTGGATTGGACATAGTAAGCGTTACTTCAATCAATATTTTTACTAGAAATAGTTAAAATTATGAACAAAATAAAGATCATAGCCCAATCTACTATTTATGAACCTTATTGATAATAAAATTTAACTAGTTGGTTTGGTATTTAGCCTTGAGGCAAGTTACATGAACTTCCCGAAATGTGTAAATAATCGACTTAATCAAAAAAATGTGTAAATAATATACTTCATTAATCCTACTTTAAAAAAAACGATAATAATTTTAGCAAACTTTGACGAATTTTTAAAATTAAACTACTTGTCGTTAGGCCGTAATATTACAGTAAGTTCTATAAGACCATGATGTATATCGCCAAAAAAAATTCCATGAAAATCAGTTAATTACAAGAAAACGGCTCGGTAGATTTTCACCTAAAATTAATCAGTACCATTCCCAACTAATATCTTTCGAACAGTTTTTGATTTTTTAAAATCGTTCGGTAGGATGAGCTTAAATGTGGATGAAAAGTTTTTTTCAAATTACAAAGAAACGGCTTGGCAGATCGTTGCACAAAACTGACAAACGATAGTCCTCACCGAAATACATCAAATGGCTTTTAAATTTTTAAAATCGGTTCAGACGTTTTTGAGAAAACGTCGATCAAAAGTCTAATTTTGACAAATGCCAAAAAGACCATACTGATTTTTGCAAACTTTGACGAATTTTTAAAGCTGAACCAGTTGTCGTAGGGCCGTAATATTTTAGTATGATCTAGAAGACTATGGTATCTATCGTCAAAAAAATAATCATAAAAATCGTCGATTTTTTTTTTTTTTAAACTTTATTACAAGAAAACGGCCCGGCCGATCTCTACCAAAAACTAATCAGCACGATTCCCAACCAATATCTTTCGAACGGTTTTTGAATTTTCAAAATCGATTCAGAATTGCGGGCTAAAACGTAGACGAAAATTTTTTCACTTTTCTGCCATTTATGAAGAAACGGCTTGGCCGATCGTCGCACAAAACTGACAAACAATAGTTCTCGTTGAGATACATCGAATGGCTTTTAAATTTTTGAAATCGGTCCAGCCGTTTTCGAGAAAACGTCGATTTACGGCAAAAAATCTGTTCACATACACACACACACACACACACATACTTTTTCCAAATTTGGTCTCATTCGATTCAGAATGGCTTGAAACGTCGAGAAAACATAAAATTAGCGAATCGGGTTTTTTGATGAAAACATAAACTTCTCCTTCGGGAAGTTAAAAAGAATAAAAGTAACAATAAAAATGATAATCACAAAGTAGTAAATTATAAATCCATGAAAGAGCTAAATATCCTAGGTATTGAAATACCTAAACTATGGCCAGATACTATATTGTCGTAATTATAAACTAACATATACCACAAGTTTAAAAATGTTTGTTTTTTTATTAAGAATTATTTAAAAAGTTGATCGATTCTCAAAATAAAACAATTGAAAAAAGTTATTCATGTACTCTTATTTGAAAACAGCATGCCGCAACCACGTATGTTACATTTTTTTCCGTGCGACAAACACGTATCTGAAAGAATTGAAGAAAAAATAATAAATAATTGTTACAAGATTGAATATTTTTAAAATTTATAAAAAAATTGTTAACAGCAGTTCAAAAATTCGTTATAAAACGTTTTTTGTCTCTCCTGAAAAGTATAATAGTAGTTTCTGAGATACGAGGTTGCGTCAGAAAAGCATCGATATGCGCATCACATTATTAGATATTTTATAGAGATTTTAATAATAAGTATGGAGCGATATTGCATTGAAAAAAAAGTTAAAAAAGTTAAAAAATTCCAAATTATTTCTAAATATAATTCAAATAAGTCAATTTACTCAAAAATTTAATATTCACAAAAATCAATCTTTTTTGAAAAATTGAATTTTTGGTACGGGAAGTTCCAGCAATTTGTCTTAAATGCCGTACACCAATAGGTGGTTTATTCGCTTCAAAAACAGTCGTATATGTGACCCTCCCACACTAGGAAAATGACATAGCTGGCGGGTGTTGCTCAAGAGCTAAGGTAATTAGGGGCTAACACTATAGTTTTATACTTCAAAAATTTCATTAAACTTATACTATTTAAACAGAAACCAATTAACTCTTATTTTTTACTTATATTACACATTTGATGACGTTTAAAAGCTGCATATTATAAAAAATATGAATTTTTCAACTTTTCAAACGGCAATATCTCAGAAACGGTGATACTAACAAAAAAATTAATAATAACAATTTCATAGAGAATTTTATAATAAATAAACTCATCTAACATAAAAAAAATTATGGTTTCGGCGGAAAATGGGAAAAACTAGATTTTTGCACCTTTGACCTTGAATAAAAAAAATCGCAGATGTCGGATCGTTGGGGACTTTTGACATTTCATTTGTAATGGCCTATTTAACATCTGTACCAAATTTCAGCTCTATGCGAATTGTTCCTAACTGAAAACTTAATTTGACTGGGCTATAATCAATGCTAGTCCTTACCAAATTACATACAATGGCATTTGAAGTTATGAAATCAGTTCAATCGTTTTTGTGAAAACGTCAACAGAAGATCCAAAAAAACGCTAACATTACACACGCATAATTTTCGCACAAATGCTTTGTATGTATGGTTTCGAAGCGACAACCATGGTGAACTAAAATAATTTTCAATTCAAAAACCATTATTTTCATTCATCATTACTAGATCCAGTTTTAAATAACAAAAAAATAATACGTAAAGCTTTTTTCTTTTACTGACTATTACTTACTTATCGCTGATTTTTCGCTGTTGTATATGGATAGTGAATATTGCATGACTTCTACTGGATTGACTGTTCATTGCAGTTGCACCTACAGCTCTGCGACGATATCCTCTAACTAAACAATCTAATGTATCTTTTGCATTACGTACTTCAATTTCGGTTAATCCAGGAATTACAATTCTTTTTTGTTGATCTTCTCTGATATCAACTATACTTTGATCTCTATTTGATTTTGATAAAAGATCAAATAATTGTTCTTGATATAATTCCATAAATGATACCTGTAGAACATGAGAAAATACTTTACTGAAGAAATGACTTACTGTTATTATTATGTTTACAATTTCATAAACTATTATGATTTCTAAAAGCAAATTATATTAAATAGCAATCCATATACTCCTAAGGAGTGCAGAACAATTATATTCAACCAAACATATAGAAGTACAAACACAATGCAAAGATTTTGAAAATCTGACATGTTTAATTTCTGACCATTTATGGGTATTCAAATAAACTCTAATTACAGTGTAAAAAGGTTATGGCTTTTAAATTTTAATTCTCATTTAAACCTCATATGCTCCTTAACAATACACTTTAAATTTATTGCTTTAATATTTGGAAAGTAGTTTATATTGATCTAACTTGTAATTGAAAATTATATTGCTCCGTCAGAGTTGAAATTTTTTGAAAAATGTCTTTTACTGCTCTTGGTATAACACCCATCTCCTCGACTGGTCCAACTGAATAAGCCATGCCCATGGAATGAGTTTTTCCGGAGCCAGTCTGACCATAAGCTAATATTGTCACATTGTAGCCTAAAATATATTTTTAGATTGAACAAAATAATAAATAATAAAGTAAAGATACTGAAGATAAAAATAGAATTTGGGATTATAGATGAGAGATAAATTCACCTACACCAAAGTTATGTTATGTCAAAATTAAATTCTAGTAGAAATAAATTACCCTTAAACAATCCATCAACTACATCAACCCTTAACAGCAGTGTCATAAAATTCAGCTTGCGAAACTTCTGGTGGAAATGCATGGTTGTAAGTAAAAGAAAGATTTTTTATTAAAACTTGAGGTTTATTCGGCAGTGTTTCGAGGCATTTAACATATCTTTTAGAAATTTCGGATTTGACTAAAGGCCTTATCCTTAAAGCCACCTGTACACTAACAGCAGAATCAAATTTTTTCAAAAATCGTTTAAGCAGGTGTAGATCTTATATGAGATATTCTATTTTATTTATGAAGAAAATAATATAGTAAATAATATACTTCATCAATCCTACTTTAAAAAACGATAATAATTTATATCCATATACTCTCCTAAGGAGTGCAGAACAATTATATTCAACCAAACATATAGAAGTACAAACACAATGCAAAGATTTTGAAAATCTGACATGTTTAATTTCTGACCATTTATGGGTATTCAAATAAACTCTAATTACAGTGTAAAAAGGTTATGGCTTTTAAATTTTAATTCTCATTTAAACCTCATATGCTCCTTAACAATTGGATAAAATATAATTAATTATGTTGCCATCTAACGGTGTGCTTTAGAAATAACCAAAATCTGGTAGGGGGGCTTTTGACCCGCCATTTTGAGCTTTTGATTTTATTATTTTTATTTCTGTAAAATATAGTTGTTTAAAATACATGGCTAAGACAACATCGGCGTTTTCATTTAAGTATATTATACATTTTGGTCCATCGACACGGATCCAGTGATTAAAAATTACAGTCCACTCTTTAAAATTAAATATACGCGAGTTCGTCAAAACATAAAGCCAAACAAAGCTCTACGTGAATGAAAACCCGGGAACCTGAGAAGCCGCCATTGAAGCTTGGAAGCGTCGCCTGGAGTTCACTGGAATTGGAACAACTACAACTAAAGATCACAATTGGAAATACAAGTAAGTCCACAATTAGTCTAAAACCATTTCAAAATTGCTTAGTATAATTGTTTGTAAGGTTTAGTCTATGTACGGTATACTTTGTCATTGTGGTTATTTAATAAATCGGGATAGGAATTAGGAACATATTCCTATTATATATCAATACAATTTTCCCATTACATTCAAAAACTACGGATTTAAACAAATTGCGGTAGCAAATTTATATATAAACTATCGTATATTTTACACGTGCGTTTCTTGTAAAATTTAAAATGGCGGACATTGAGACGCTCAAACAACAAAGGGCTCGATTGATAAAATCTATCGCGCTTATTCAGAATTTTATTAATAACTTTCGAGAAGGAGATAGCAAACATGGCTTAATCCTCCGAAAAAAGAAACTAGTTGAGATTCTTCAAAGTTTAGAAGAAAATCAAACTGAATTAGATGTTAGATGTCCAGGAACTTACTCAAAAGAATATGAGGAGTTATTTGATTTACATTTTGAATTGTCAGCTCAAATTGAAGATATTTTAGAAACTAACATTAACGAAAATAAACCAAATATAGATTTAAAACATAGGCAAATTAACATCAAACTTCCAGACATAAATTTACCAAAGTTCAATGGAAATTATTCGGAATGGAATGCATTCATAGATATTTACAATTCACTTATACACAACAACGAGCATTTGTCAGACGTTCAAAAACTTCATTATTTAAAAGGGACACTACAATCACCAGCATCTGACTTAATAACAAATCTTTCTATGACCAATGAAAATTACAACACGGCATATAATTTACTGCAAGATAGATACAACAATAAATACTTAATAATTACATCACATCTACAATCTCTAAATGACATAAAACCTATACTACGAGGTTCACATGAAAATCTACAATCATTTTTGAACCAAGCGAGGCAGCAGACGCAGTCACTAGTAACAATTCACGAAGATGCAGTTTATTGGGACATAATTTTAGTTTTTCAGCTCACAAATAAATTAGATCACCATACTCGTTTAGCTTGGAGTCTATCACAACAAGAAGGAGAGCTGCCAACGTTAAACAAATTTTATAAATTTCTTGAAACCAGGTCGTGTGCGTTGGAAACTGCAACCAAGACTGGTAAGATAGAACATTCCGGAGCAAAAATAAAATCTGTAAATATAGTGTCTCAAGATAATCAGCACAAACCATGTATATATTGTAAATTGAAAGGACATCGTGTATATAATTGCTTTAAATTTAAGAAACTACCAATAACACAAAGACAGGAAATTTTAAGACTTAATCTCCATTGCGAGAAATGTTTAGAACCTGCTCATTCACCAGATGTATGTAAATTCAGTCAGAATTGCAAAATATGCCAGAAGAAACACCACACAATGATGCATGTATATAATGATAATAAAGATTCCACCTCAGAGGAAAAAGTGAGAAGCAGTGAAACTACGCAAAAGGTACTATTTTCACAAGAGTCCAATTCCATAAGCGTTTTGTTAGCCACTGCAATCATCAACATTGAAAACACTCGAGGGGAGCTTTGTGAAGCAAGAGCACTATTGGATAGTGGCTCACAGACCAACCTGGTCACAAAAGATTTAGCAGAAAGACTGCAGCTCCCACAATTTAATTCCCGAAACACTCTGAGTGTACTACAGGGCAAGTCATTAGGAGTATCTAAATCAACTAAAATCAAGATAAATTCAATTAATAGTTCGTATAGCAGATCAATAAACTGTATTGTAATAGATAAAATTACAACAAATTTACCTGCACAAAAATTGATGCCAGTGACTGGAAGATTCCAAATAACATAAAATTAGCAGATCCTTCATTTTCAAATCCTGGGCCAGTTGACGTACTAATAGGAGCAGAATTATTCTTTGAAATCATACAGCAAGGTAGTATAAAACTAGGCTATAAACTTCCCATGTTGAAAAACAGCAAGCTTGGATGGATGCTTTCAGGACCATATAAGGAGCCATCGATGCAACCGAGTTATGTAGGATTCATTTCCAATGATCAATTAAATTGCGAAATAACAAAGTTTTGGCAAATCGAAGAAATAGACAGCAGTCCTCCAATGCAGGGTTCGGACAAAATCTGTGAAGACCACTTTTTAAAGACAGTTCACCGACATGAAAATGGAAGATATGAGGTGAGTCTACCATTTATTGAAAATAGAAAGTCAGAACTTGGAGAATCATTCCATCTAGCCAAGTCACGCCTGTTAAACCTGGAAAGACGCTTTAAATCAGATAAAAACCTTTTGAATAAATATGCAGAGTTTATGGAAGAGTATATTCGGTTAGGCCATGCGCAAGAAACCACAGTGATACAACATTCAACTCAAGAAAATCCAGTTTATTATCTTCCACATCACCCCGTTATAAAAGAATATGGTACAACCAAGTTGCGGGTAGTATTTGATGCTTCGGCTAAAACATCTAATAATATATCATTAAATGACATCTTACATACAGGACCTAAGCTACAGCAAGAATTAATATCAATACTAATTAGATTTCGATGCTGGAAGTATGTTTTTATAACAGATATTACAAAAATGTACAGGCAAATAAAAGTTGCTAAAAAAGATCAAGAAGTGCAAAGGATTTTGTGGAGATGTGACCCAAAGGAAGACATTCGTTGTTATAAATTAACAACAGTAACCTATGGCACATCTTCCGCACCCTATTTAGCAATTCGTGTTTTGAATAAACTAGCAGAGGATGAAGAAAGCAGTACACCTGTAGCAGCAGATATTATTAAACAAGACTGCTATGTAGACGATATAATAACAGGAGCAAACTCCATAACAGATCTTCATATTAAATCTGATCAACTTGTGACAATGCTTGGCCGCGGAGGATTTTCTCTACACAAGTGGTCCAGCAATAATCAAGAATTTTTAAACACAATTGCACAAGAAAATCAAGAATTAGAAAATACGTGCTTCATTGATAAAACTGGAATAATTAAAGCATTGGGGTTATTATGGAACCCGACAGAAGACATTTTTAAGGCAACAATTCCATCAGCATTCCAAAGAACTTTCACAAAAAGAGCCATTTTATCAGCCATATCCCAAATCTTCGACCCAATGGGACTTATAGCCCCAGTCGTAGTCAAGGCGAAGATGATAATGCAAAAGATATGGAAACAGAAGACTGATTGGGATGAAGAAGTTCCAGCAACAATTAAAGAAGAGTGGAAAACCCTTCAAAATCAGTTCACTCTTCTAAAAGAAATAAAGATTCAACGGTATATGTTCAACCAAGAACCAATAAAACAAATTGAGTGCCATGGATTCGCTGATGCATCAATGGCAGCATATGGAGCATGCATCTATGTTCGGGCAATATATAACAATAATTCTATATCATCAAGGCTATTAACTGCCAAATCAAAAGTAGCACCAATCAAGAATGTGACTCTGCCACGACTAGAACTATGCGCAGCATTACTATTAGCTAGACTTTATAAGCACATAAGTAAGGTAATCAATATACATTTTGACAAAACGTTCATGTGGAGTGATTCGACCATTGTTTTGGGATGGTTAAAAACTGATCCCAGCAAGCTAAAAATGTTTGTTAGCAACAGAGTGCAGGAGATTCAGGAAACAACATCCGGAATAATATGGAGTCATGTATCTTCACAGGACAACGCAGCAGACATAGTTTCGAGAGGAGTCCACTCCTCAGGAAATAATTAATAATAGCTTATGGTGGTTTGGTCCAACATGGTTGTTATCAAATTCAGAATGGCCCACCAATAAGTATGAAGAAGTGCCAGTAGAAGATATGCCAGAACTAAAAGTGCTGCAAATAAACCAGTCCAATATAAAATCAGAAAAAATATACTCAAAATATTCAAGTTTTAATAAATTAATTAGGGTAATTGCATACTGTTTGAGATTTAACTTAAAATTAAAATATCGTCATAATAAAGATACATTAACTTTGAGCACCAGAGAATTAGATTATGCTCACAATGCGATAATCAAATTAGCACAAAGAGAAGAGTTTAATAAAATTATTCATGAATTAGAAAGTAATAAGTACACAGGATTGAACACAAGTTCAGAATTAAAAGGTTTATACCCATTTATTGATTCTGAAGGAATATTGAGAGTGGGTGGTAGAATAGACCAGTCAGATCTTACATTTTCACATAAACATCCGATAATATTACCTAAAGGACATCGGATTACATATTTAATAATAAAACAAGAACATGAGCGATTACTTCATGCAGGTACTCAGGCAGTATTGATGAACATAAGAAGAAAATACTGGCCAATAAATGCAAGAAATCAAATTAAGGGTATCATTAGAGAATGCATCAAATGCAAAAGATTTCGAGCTGAGCAATCACAACAATTAATGGGATCGTTACCCAGAGATAGGGTTATACGTCAACGACCATTTTTGTCAGTTGGAATTGATTATGCAGGACCTGTTCTAATACGATCTAGTCGTTTAAGAAAGGCTCCTAAAACTAAAGCATATATTGTCATCTACATATGTATGACAACAAAAGCTATACATTTGGATTTGGTTACAGAGCTCTCAACAAAATCATTTTTGGCTTCATTAAAGCGTTTTGTTTCACGCAGAGGTGTATGTTCTACAATCCATAGTGACAATGGAACAAACTTTGTTGGAGCTAGTAGACAATTAAATGAACTGTATAAATTTTTTAAACTAGAAATCAACAGAAAAAACATTATTGAATGTGTAGCAAATATGGGTATCACATGGAAATTTATACCTTCCCATGCTCCACACTTTGGAGGCCTCTGGGAAAGTAATATCAAATCTATGAAACATTACTTACATAGAGTTATAGGATCCACATGTTTGACCTATGAAGAATATTTGACTTTATTAATATAATATTATAATATACCGATACTATATATTTAAGTCCCAGTCATTTTTTAATTGGAGACCTTATGACTGCCATCCCTGAACCAATAAATGACAAAGTTATTACCAATAGATTAAGCATACACAAGCAAATTACAGCAATGCGAGATCGGTTTTGGCTTTTGTGGTCAAAGGCCTATCTCTCAGAACTACAAAGACGTACAAAATGGAGTTCGGGCACCAGCAATCTAGAAGTGGGCACAGTAGTACTAATTCAGGAAGACCATGTACCACCAATAAACTGGCCATTAGGACGAGTAACCCATGTACATCCAGGCAAAGATGGCAAAGTTCGAGTTGCAACTGTGAGGACTATGAAGGGCTCTTATATGCGACCAATTGTAAAACTAACGCCATTAGTTATGAAGGAAGCTTGAAAATATATTTGTGTATGAAATATCTTAAGTTTTGTTATATAATGTTCATATAAATATTTAGTAATAGGGATTAAAAAATTTATGATACTTATCCTTAGGATTAAAATTTCCATTTAGAAATCTTTTAGTATATCATGTTAGATTTAGTTATCCATAAGACCATATTCATTTACAATTTTGAACCTTATACTGTTATCATGTTATATTATATTATTATCTTTATTATTCATGCATATTAGGTTTAAGAACTCATGTCACATATTATTATATTATCTAGGTTATATGTCATGTCATTTCTTTTCGCAATTCATAGGTTATATCTTAATATATCTTCGGGTTGTATTCTTTAATAAACTTCACAAATTGTTGTAATGATGGATGCATACGCATCGGGCGGGAATATGGATAAAATATAATTAATTATGTTGCCATCTAACGGTGTGCTTTAGAAATAACCAAAATCTGGTAGGGGGGCTTTTGACCCGCCATTTTGAGCTTTTGATTTTATTATTTTTATTTCTGTAAAATATAGTTGTTTAAAATACATGGCTAAGACAACATCGGCGTTTTCATTTAAGTATATTATACAACAATACACTTTAAATTTATTGCTTTAATATTTGGAAAGTAGTTTATATTGATCTAACTTGTAATTGAAAATTATATTGCTCCGTCAGAGTTGAAATTTTTTGAAAAATGTCTTTTACTGCTCTTGGTATAACACCCATCTCCTCGACTGGTCCAACTGAATAAGCCATGCCCATGGAATGAGTTTTTCCGGAGCCAGTCTGACCATAAGCTAATATTGTCACATTGTAGCCTAAAATATATTTTTAGATTGAACAAAATAATAAATAATAAAGTAAAGATACTGAAGATAAAAATAGAATTTGGGATTATAGATGAGAGATAAATTCACCTACACCAAAGTTATGTTATGTCAAAATTAAATTCTAGTAGAAATAAATTGCCCTTAAACAATCCATCAACTAAACCCTTAACAGCAGTGTCATAAAATTCAGCTTGCGAAACTTCTGGTGGAAATGCATGGTTGTAAGTAAAAGAAAGATTTTTTATTAAAACTTGAGGTTTATTCGGCAGTGTTTCGAGGCATTTAACATATCTTTTAGAAATTTCGGATTTGACTAAAGGCCTTATCCTTAAAGCCACCTGTACACTAACAGCAGAATCAAATTTTTTCAAAAATCGTTTGAGCAGGTGTAGATCTTATATGAGATATTCTATTTTATTTATGAAGAAAATAATATAGTAAATAATATACTTCATCAATCCTACTTTAAAAAACGATAATAATTTATATCCATATACTCCTAAGGAGTGCAGAACAATTATATTCAACCAAACATATAGAAGTACAAACACAATGCAAAGATTTTGAAAATCTGACATGTTTAATTTCTGACCATTTATGGGTATTCAAATAAACTCTAATTACAGTGTAAAAAGGTTATGGCTTTTAAATTTTAATTCTCATTTAAACCTCATATGCTCCTTAACAATTGGATAAAATATAATTAATTATGTTGCCATCTAACGGTGTGCTTTAGAAATAACCAAAATCTGGTAGGGGGGCTTTTGACCCGCCATTTTGAGCTTTTGATTTTATTATTTTTATTTCTGTAAAATATAGTTGTTTAAAATACATGGCTAAGACAACATCGGCGTTTTCATTTAAGTATATTATACATTTTGGTCCATCGACACGGATCCAGTGATTAAAAATTACAGTCCACTCTTTAAAATTAAATATACGCGAGTTCGTCAAAACATAAAGCCAAACAAAGCTCTACGTGAATGAAAACCCGGGAACCTGAGAAGCCGCCATTGAAGCTTGGAAGCGTCGCCTGGAGTTCACTGGAATTGGAACAACTACAACTAAAGATCACAATTGGAAATACAAGTAAGTCCACAATTAGTCTAAAACCATTTCAAAATTGCTTAGTATAATTGTTTGTAAGGTTTAGTCTATGTACGGTATACTTTGTCATTGTGGTTATTTAATAAATCGGGATAGGAATTAGGAACATATTCCTATTATATATCAATACAATTTTCCCATTACATTCAAAAACTACGGATTTAAACAAATTGCGGTAGCAAATTTATATATAAACTATCGTATATTTTACACGTGCGTTTCTTGTAAAATTTAAAATGGCGGACATTGAGACGCTCAAACAACAAAGGGCTCGATTGATAAAATCTATCGCGCTTATTCAGAATTTTATTAATAACTTTCGAGAAGGAGATAGCAAACATGGCTTAATCCTCCGAAAAAAGAAACTAGTTGAGATTCTTCAAAGTTTAGAAGAAAATCAAACTGAATTAGATGTTAGATGTCCAGGAACTTACTCAAAAGAATATGAGGAGTTATTTGATTTACATTTTGAATTGTCAGCTCAAATTGAAGATATTTTAGAAACTAACATTAACGAAAATAAACCAAATATAGATTTAAAACATAGGCAAATTAACATCAAACTTCCAGACATAAATTTACCAAAGTTCAATGGAAATTATTCGGAATGGAATGCATTCATAGATATTTACAATTCACTTATACACAACAACGAGCATTTGTCAGACGTTCAAAAACTTCATTATTTAAAAGGGACACTACAATCACCAGCATCTGACTTAATAACAAATCTTTCTATGACCAATGAAAATTACAACACGGCATATAATTTACTGCAAGATAGATACAACAATAAATACTTAATAATTACATCACATCTACAATCTCTAAATGACATAAAACCTATACTACGAGGTTCACATGAAAATCTACAATCATTTTTGAACCAAGCGAGGCAGCAGACGCAGTCACTAGTAACAATTCACGAAGATGCAGTTTATTGGGACATAATTTTAGTTTTTCAGCTCACAAATAAATTAGATCACCATACTCGTTTAGCTTGGAGTCTATCACAACAAGAAGGAGAGCTGCCAACGTTAAACAAATTTTATAAATTTCTTGAAACCAGGTCGTGTGCGTTGGAAACTGCAACCAAGACTGGTAAGATAGAACATTCCGGAGCAAAAATAAAATCTGTAAATATAGTGTCTCAAGATAATCAGCACAAACCATGTATATATTGTAAATTGAAAGGACATCGTGTATATAATTGCTTTAAATTTAAGAAACTACCAATAACACAAAGACAGGAAATTTTAAGACTTAATCTCCATTGCGAGAAATGTTTAGAACCTGCTCATTCACCAGATGTATGTAAATTCAGTCAGAATTGCAAAATATGCCAGAAGAAACACCACACAATGATGCATGTATATAATGATAATAAAGATTCCACCTCAGAGGAAAAAGTGAGAAGCAGTGAAACTACGCAAAAGGTACTATTTTCACAAGAGTCCAATTCCATAAGCGTTTTGTTAGCCACTGCAATCATCAACATTGAAAACACTCGAGGGGAGCTTTGTGAAGCAAGAGCACTATTGGATAGTGGCTCACAGACCAACCTGGTCACAAAAGATTTAGCAGAAAGACTGCAGCTCCCACAATTTAATTCCCGAAACACTCTGAGTGTACTACAGGGCAAGTCATTAGGAGTATCTAAATCAACTAAAATCAAGATAAATTCAATTAATAGTTCGTATAGCAGATCAATAAACTGTATTGTAATAGATAAAATTACAACAAATTTACCTGCACAAAAAGTTGATGCCAGTGACTGGAAGATTCCAAATAACATAAAATTAGCAGATCCTTCATTTTCAAATCCTGGGCCAGTTGACGTACTAATAGGAGCAGAATTATTCTTTGAAATCATACAGCAAGGTAGTATAAAACTAGGCTATAAACTTCCCATGTTGAAAAACAGCAAGCTTGGATGGATGCTTTCAGGACCATATAAGGAGCCATCGATGCAACCGAGTTATGTAGGATTCATTTCCAATGATCAATTAAATTGCGAAATAACAAAGTTTTGGCAAATCGAAGAAATAGACAGCAGTCCTCCAATGCAGGGTTCGGACAAAATCTGTGAAGACCACTTTTTAAAGACAGTTCACCGACATGAAAATGGAAGATATGAGGTGAGTCTACCATTTATTGAAAATAGAAAGTCAGAACTTGGAGAATCATTCCATCTAGCCAAGTCACGCCTGTTAAACCTGGAAAGACGCTTTAAATCAGATAAAAACCTTTTGAATAAATATGCAGAGTTTATGGAAGAGTATATTCGGTTAGGCCATGCGCAAGAAACCACAGTGATACAACATTCAACTCAAGAAAATCCAGTTTATTATCTTCCACATCACCCCGTTATAAAAGAATATGGTACAACCAAGTTGCGGGTAGTATTTGATGCTTCGGCTAAAACATCTAATAATATATCATTAAATGACATCTTACATACAGGACCTAAGCTACAGCAAGAATTAATATCAATACTAATTAGATTTCGATGCTGGAAGTATGTTTTTATAACAGATATTACAAAAATGTACAGGCAAATAAAAGTTGCTAAAAAAGATCAAGAAGTGCAAAGGATTTTGTGGAGATGTGACCCAAAGGAAGACATTCGTTGTTATAAATTAACAACAGTAACCTATGGCACATCTTCCGCACCCTATTTAGCAATTCGTGTTTTGAATAAACTAGCAGAGGATGAAGAAAGCAGTACACCTGTAGCAGCAGATATTATTAAACAAGACTGCTATGTAGACGATATAATAACAGGAGCAAACTCCATAACAGATCTTCATATTAAATCTGATCAACTTGTGACAATGCTTGGCCGCGGAGGATTTTCTCTACACAAGTGGTCCAGCAATAATCAAGAATTTTTAAACACAATTGCACAAGAAAATCAAGAATTAGAAAATACGTGCTTCATTGATAAAACTGGAATAATTAAAGCATTGGGGTTATTATGGAACCCGACAGAAGACATTTTTAAGGCAACAATTCCATCAGCATTCCAAAGAACTTTCACAAAAAGAGCCATTTTATCAGCCATATCCCAAATCTTCGACCCAATGGGACTTATAGCCCCAGTCGTAGTCAAGGCGAAGATGATAATGCAAAAGATATGGAAACAGAAGACTGATTGGGATGAAGAAGTTCCAGCAACAATTAAAGAAGAGTGGAAAACCCTTCAAAATCAGTTCACTCTTCTAAAAGAAATAAAGATTCAACGGTATATGTTCAACCAAGAACCAATAAAACAAATTGAGTGCCATGGATTCGCTGATGCATCAATGGCAGCATATGGAGCATGCATCTATGTTCGGGCAATATATAACAATAATTCTATATCATCAAGGCTATTAACTGCCAAATCAAAAGTAGCACCAATCAAGAATGTGACTCTGCCACGACTAGAACTATGCGCAGCATTACTATTAGCTAGACTTTATAAGCACATAAGTAAGGTAATCAATATACATTTTGACAAAACGTTCATGTGGAGTGATTCGACCATTGTTTTGGGATGGTTAAAAACTGATCCCAGCAAGCTAAAAATGTTTGTTAGCAACAGAGTGCAGGAGATTCAGGAAACAACATCCGGAATAATATGGAGTCATGTATCTTCACAGGACAACGCAGCAGACATAGTTTCGAGAGGAGCCACTCCTCAGGAAATAATTAATAATAGCTTATGGTGGTTTGGTCCAACATGGTTGTTATCAAATTCAGAATGGCCCACCAATAAGTATGAAGAAGTGCCAGTAGAAGATATGCCAGAACTAAAAGTGCTGCAAATAAACCAGTCCAATATAAAATCAGAAAAAATATACTCAAAATATTCAAGTTTTAATAAATTAATTAGGGTAATTGCATACTGTTTGAGATTTAACTTAAAATTAAAATATCGTCATAATAAAGATACATTAACTTTGAGCACCAGAGAATTAGATTATGCTCACAATGCGATAATCAAATTAGCACAAAGAGAAGAGTTTAATAAAATTATTCATGAATTAGAAAGTAATAAGTACACAGGATTGAACACAAGTTCAGAATTAAAAGGTTTATACCCATTTATTGATTCTGAAGGAATATTGAGAGTGAGTGGTAGAATAGACCAGTCAGATCTTACATTTTCACATAAACATCCGATAATATTACCTAAAGGACATCGGATTACATATTTAATAATAAAACAAGAACATGAGCGATTACTTCATGCAGGTACTCAGGCAGTATTGATGAACATAAGAAGAAAATACTGGCCAATAAATGCAAGAAATCAAATTAAGGGTATCATTAGAGAATGCATCAAATGCAAAAGATTTCGAGCTGAGCAATCACAACAATTAATGGGATCGTTACCCAGAGATAGGGTTATACGTCAACGACCATTTTTGTCAGTTGGAATTGATTATGCAGGACCTGTTCTAATACGATCTAGTCGTTTAAGAAAGGCTCCTAAAACTAAAGCATATATTGTCATCTACATATGTATGACAACAAAAGCTATACATTTGGATTTGGTTACAGAGCTCTCAACAAAATCATTTTTGGCTTCATTAAAGCGTTTTGTTTCACGCAGAGGTGTATGTTCTACAATCCATAGTGACAATGGAACAAACTTTGTTGGAGCTAGTAGACAATTAAATGAACTGTATAAATTTTTTAAACTAGAAATCAACAGAAAAAACATTATTGAATGTGTAGCAAATATGGGTATCACATGGAAATTTATACCTTCCCATGCTCCACACTTTGGAGGCCTCTGGGAAAGTAATATCAAATCTATGAAACATTACTTACATAGAGTTATAGGATCCACATGTTTGACCTATGAAGAATATTTGACTTTATTAATACAGGTGGAAGCCATATTAAATTCCAGACCATTAATCTCTTTAAGCGATGACAGTACCGATACTATATATTTAAGTCCCAGTCATTTTTTAATTGGAGACCTTATGACTGCCATCCCTGAACCAATAAATGACAAAGTTATTACCAATAGATTAAGCATACACAAGCAAATTACAGCAATGCGAGATCGGTTTTGGCTTTTGTGGTCAAAGGCCTATCTCTCAGAACTACAAAGACGTACAAAATGGAGTTCGGGCACCAGCAATCTAGAAGTGGGCACAGTAGTACTAATTCAGGAAGACCATGTACCACCAATAAACTGGCCATTAGGACGAGTAACCCATGTACATCCAGGCAAAGATGGCAAAGTTCGAGTTGCAACTGTGAGGACTATGAAGGGCTCTTATATGCGACCAATTGTAAAACTAACGCCATTAGTTATGAAGGAAGCTTGAAAATATATTTGTGTATGAAATATCTTAAGTTTTGTTATATAATGTTCATATAAATATTTAGTAATAGGGATTAAAAAATTTATGATACTTATCCTTAGGATTAAAATTTCCATTTAGAAATCTTTTAGTATATCATGTTAGATTTAGTTATCCATAAGACCATATTCATTTACAATTTTGAACCTTATACTGTTATCATGTTATATTATATTATTATCTTTATTATTCATGCATATTAGGTTTAAGAACTCATGTCACATATTATTATATTATCTAGGTTATATGTCATGTCATTTCTTTTCGCAATTCATAGGTTATATCTTAATATATCTTCGGGTTGTATTCTTTAATAAACTTTACAAATTGTTGTAATGATGGATGCATACGCATCGGGCGGGAATATGGATAAAATATAATTAATTATGTTGCCATCTAACGGTGTGCTTTAGAAATAACCAAAATCTGGTAGGGGGGCTTTTGACCCGCCATTTTGAGCTTTTGATTTTGTTATTTTTATTTCTGTAAAATATAGTTGTTTAAAATACATGGCTAAGACAACATCGGCGTTTTCATTTAAGTATATTATACAACAATACACTTTAAATTTATTGCTTTAATATTTGGAAAGTAGTTTATATTGATCTAACTTGTAATTGAAAATTATATTGCTCCGTCAGAGTTGAAATTTTTTGAAAAATGTCTTTTACTGCTCTTGGTATAACACCCATCTCCTCGACTGGTCCAACTGAATAAGCCATGCCCATGGAATGAGTTTTTCCGGAGCCAGTCTGACCATAAGCTAATATTGTCAGATTGTAGCCTAAAATATATTTTTAGATTGAACAAAATAATAAATAATAAAGTAAAGATACTGAAGATAAAAATAGAATTTGGGATTATAGATGAGAGATAAATTCACCTACACCAAAGTTATGTTATGTCAAAATTAAATTCTAGTAGAAATAAATTGCCCTTAAACAATCCATCAACTACATCAACCCTTAACAGCAGTGTCATAAAATTCAGCTTGCGAAACTTCTGGTGGAAATGCATGGTTGTAAGTAAAAGAAAGATTTTTTATTAAAACTTGAGGTTTATTCGGCAGTGTTTCGAGGCATTTAACATATCTTTTAGAAATTTCGGATTTGACTAAAGGCCTTATCCTTAAAGCCACCTGTACACTAACAGCAGAATCAAATTTTTTCAAAAATCGTTTGAGCAGGTGTAGATCTTATATGAGATATTCTATTTTATTTATGAAGAAAATAATATAGTAAATAATATACTTCATCAATCCTACTTTAAAAACGATAATAATTTATATCCATATACTCTCCTAAGGAGTGCAGAACAATTATATTCAACCAAACATATAGAAGTACAAACACAATGCAAAGATTTTGAAAATCTGACATGTTTAATTTCTGACCATTTATGGGTATTCAAATAAACTCTAATTACAGTGTAAAAAGGTTATGGCTTTTAAATTTTAATTCTCATTTAAACCTCATATGCTCCTTAACAATACACTTTAAATTTATTGTTAATCACACTGTAATTTTCTTTTCGTATATTCAGTTTTATTTAAAAAATTATGTGACGAATTTACCGAGTATGTAATGAATTTTAATAGATGAAGAAACATTATTATCATTATTGAATGTTAAATTATATTAAAAACTTACAAATCAATCTTGAGTCGTCATTTCAAATATGCAAGACAAACGAATATGAAATTATGAAATTGCAAATTGTATTCATTTGATTCTTCAATATTTAAAATAATATTAACTCTACTCAATTGTGCAAATAAAGAATTCATTATGCATTTGTAATTTCAATAAACAGTTACACCTTGCACAGGTTTTATTTTACGAGAAGCACAAAAGCTCATTATATGTATTATTGATTTATGAATTTTTAACAAAATTAATCATACTGATAAAAATAATTCAATTCCTTTAAGTTGCATCATAACTTTTTATAATTTTCGCAATTTAATCAAAATTATTAGACTGTACACAGTCTCTATATTGGAAACAAACAGATTTGCTCTGAAACTAAATAAATTGATTTTTCTAGTGATTCAAATTTGTCATCGGATTCCAAATGTTCTAACTTTCCTCGAAGTCTGAAACTACACCTTGTGTTTGCATTGAATTGCTTTTCTAACATGATGTACTATAAAATCTAATCACATCATTCGGAATACTGCCAAAAGTTTCTTCTTTGTCCATATTCTCAAATACTTTTAAATTTCACAATGAAAAATTTAGTTATACATATGAATAAAATCAAAGCTAATGAAAAAAAAATTATACGAAACAATTCTTATATACTACATACTTGTATAGATAATTTCATCGTCCTTTTGAATATTTTGAGTCATTTACTAATATTAGCATAAAATTAATGAAATATGGTATTCAGTTGTAGATCTTGACATTTGTAGCACCTCTTTATTGATAAGAACATTAGATATTTTGATTTAAACGAAGACCTTTGTAATATTTATAGTATATTATTTGCCTTATATAGTATTGTGTTGTTGCATTGTCGAATTATCCACAGCAGATATATTATAGACAGATGACTTGTGTTGCTTGTATATGTTATGCAGCTATAAAAGTACCAAGTAAGTTATATTCAACATACTGAAAATGTTTGTGACCACCACACTTCTAATTCATACTTGTCTCAAATTTTTCTGCTCCTGCCTCTGCTGAGTAAAATGATAAATGAATGAATTGATAGCCAGATATATTACAATGAAGATATCTTGCAAATACAATGTCTACGTATTGTTTGTAGAATGCCATATCAAAGTCATCATCAACTACGTTAAATGATCTTGATTAAGTTTCTAGCCTCTTGAGAATAATTCATGCATTTGTTCTATAATTATGCAAAGTTTGTGTGCTCTCTTGTTGATAATGTAGATGATTTGGATCCACTAATTGCTAATTAGATGTGTATATTTGTACCATACTATATTAGCCATTATTTTTAGAAACTTGTTGACAACGAAGATCATTTCGATCCATCAATTGATAATTGGATGTGATAATACAATATATGCACCATACTGTAGTAGGGAATTCTTTTGTATCTCGCTGACGACGAAGATCATTTCGATCCATCAATTGATATTTGGATGTGTTAATACAGTATTTGTACCATATTACAGTAGCAAATACTTTTGTAACTTGCTGACAACGAAAATTAATTCGATCCATAAATGGCTAATTGGTTGTTTTAGTGACTACTTTTGAAACTTGTTGACAACGAAGATAATTTGGAGCCATCAAATTGCCAATTGAATGTGATAACACAATATATGCAGCATATACTATCAGTACAATATTTTCTCTTTACTAATGTTTCTTCTCACACAAACTCGATCTTTAATTATGTTTTGTGCTTTATCACTATTTCTGTTTCTTGAACAGAATGTCTTCTTATACAAGAAGATACAACAGAATACAATATTTCGTTCCTTTGCTTTTTTCAAATTATTGTGTTTCCGCAAATACAGAAATATAAATCGTTCCGTACTAATATTTTTTCCATATTGCTTTATGTCAAATTAAATGAACAAGATTAAATAATGACACATTAAGGTGCTTCCTTCGGCACCTAACGAAGAAAGATAGTGTGGACGGGCACAACGAACACGCCGAGCAATACAACCAACAAACATAGTGAGCAATGTTCCATTGTTCCAAAGAAAATTGTTCGTTCATGTAGGCAAACATTTTTCTTTTTCGATGTTAATATGTGCAGTTTTGCATTAATTTATGTTGTGATTATTTTGTGATATTGCTTTCTCGCCACTGTAAATAATAAAAATGACGTTCTCGGAACATGCTCGAACAAAAAAAATTCAAGCCCTTTCAAGTTCGTTTGGAATGATTTGCTTTCGTTCGTGTTCGTGTTCGTGTTTGTCCTTTGCATTTCATTGTCCGGTATGGTCGATCGTCAGGTTGTTCGTTCGAGTTTGTTCGTTAGGTGTCGACCACCTACC